TCTGAATGAACACACACACACACACACACACACACACACACACACACACACACACACACACACACACACACACTAGTTTGTCATAACAGACAGATCTTTCTTTTCATGGGGTTTGTAATATTTTGCTGTAGATGCTCGTTCAGACATCCAGTCACTGGGAACTGACACTCACCATCCTCCTCTGTTCTCTGGCCCACTGCTCCTTAAACTCTCTGCGCCACTTGTCGATCTCATTCTTCTTGGCAGCCATGGCCTTTGGGATGGTAACGGTCACAGATATTGGATTAAACACAGTCATGCCACAGTCTTGCCTATTTTGAATGAGTGTGCTGTGGATTTCCGTACTTGGTAACAGCGGTTGTGCAGCAGTTCAGAAGTTTTTCTTGAGGTCACACTGTTCTTGACGTCTTGCTCCAGCGCCATGGTGTAGATGTACTGCAGAGGCATCATTTCCTACACAGGCGAAAGCAACTTTAGACAGTTTTTACATAGTAAATAATAACATTGAGATAATCACTACAACATCTCATTTGGAATCACACATCCAGTTAACAAAGTCGTACCTGCTGTGCCACGTTGACCTTTGCTCCCTCGGCTGTCTTTATCACATTTTTTGCAAATTCTTGTTCTGTCAACAAAAATCATTGCTGAGTTTTTCTTCAATTTAAATTATTCACAGAATATTCTCACAGTACTGACAGAAACCACAATATTTATTATTGCTATTAGTATGTTGCCTCAATATGATGCTTAAAGCTCTATTTCTGAACAAATTGATGCTATAATCTACAGCCTCCATGTCCGTTCAGATGACCCTGACATTTACTGAAAAGCTAATCAAACCTCTCGGAGGTAAAGCAAGACCCTTAGCCTTGTGGATCTGTTCTATTTGCATTTTGACCACGTCAGTGGAAGTGATTTGCTACAGTCTTGGTCAGCACTTTTTGTCAGATGCTGGAATTAACAAGAATAACAACAGGAAGTGAACTCTTTTATTTTTAGAGCACAAAGTACAAAGTGCTGCACAACAGGAAATTATTACAATAAGATAACCATTAGATAATTTGGCCTTACTTCAGAATAGATCATAACCTAATTCTAGCACTCTGACAGTGGTTCTTGATCAAACTGCTCTTTAAAAATGGGAACACTACTGTTGCTGTTTACTACGTTTAATCAACAGTAGTTTGGGGTTGAGCTCCACCCAACGTCACTGCTCCTGACACAGCTGAGCTGAAGACCTTCCTCTATATTTTGATCACTGCCAGAAAGACTTGCACACTCCCAGTCTGGACACTGGTCACCTGTGCAGGCTGATACCAGGGTTATCACTGTCTATACTCTCTAAAGGCACCCCATCTTCTTTATTACCGTTCCCGAGACAGCTAATCTGCCCTCTAATCCCTCCTCTGTGTGTGTGTGTGTGTGTGTGTGTGTGTGTGTGTGTGTGTGTGTGTGTGTGCGCAGAGTGCAGCTCACTGGGGTGACTGAACCACCCACAGACATCCTCACTGAGTCATATAACACGCTAAGTTATGGCATGTTATAACATGGTGCTACAGCCACTCCAGTCAACTCTCAAACACGCCTGAAGGATTTTGTCTGTTGCTTTTTCATTGACTGGGAATCTGCTCTCCTGAGGCCTGATGTATTGCATATGTATTGCTTTTCTAGAAACGTATGTGCCTCTTGTTACAGTTCAAAACTTAAACATTCTCTCACCTGCTCAAACTCTGTGGGAAAAAGACACAAGATCTTACACAAAATGACAAATAGTCACAACTGTAAACACATAA